AGAGTAAAAAGAGTCCTGTGTTTTCTGACAGAAATGTCTCTTGTGAATACAAAGACCTTTTTTATTTTATTTTACAAAGCAAACAGTGTTATCAGCAGAAACATAGATCCAGAGACCTCATCTGTCTCTGGATCTATCTGTCTACTAAAGGACAACAACCTTGATAAAAGAGTTACAGTTGTTACAGGGGAAACTGTATGTGCAAAGGTGAGAATTTAGTGTGAACACGCAATGTTAAATTTATGAAAAGGTTTAATTCCTCTTATGTAGAAATGATAAAATCAAATGTTTAACACCACTGGCAAGGACATGAATGTTGTTGCACAATGTTTACAATGTCAGTGTTATAATATGGAATATAAAAAATAAGACAACAAATTGCTTTACTACATGTCGCCCATTGGGCCCAGGAATGCATTTGGCTATGGTCGCTGGTGTCTCTAGCTTCATGTTCCTGACTATAGAGTTGCCAATTACCAGTTGTTTACTCAGTGGCTGTGTCGCAGAGTGGGGAAACTCGATCTGAAATGTGAACAGGCAGCTGATGCACTGTGGGCATTTGTTTCGAGCTACGACTCTTGGGAACTGTCATCGAGCCACCTGGCTGAGATTGAGGCTGCTCAGGAAGAACTGGGGGCGGCTAGCTTGGGTTGAACTACAGTACATCTAGGAGGCCCCGCACCGGCTACATGGTCCTGGCTAGCTGGGCTGTTCTCCATAGCGCGGAGCCTGGTCTCCAATGCTGCTAGGGTCTGACATTTATTACAAGTACCATTATCACTAAAGGAGGCAGACACTCCGAGCAAGAAAAAGAAAGAGAGGAAGAGGGGGGAGCCATGGCACTCAACTAAGCTACTATCTTAGCTAGCTTAGAAACAAGTAATTAGCAAGTTAAATTTGGTAATTAGCAAGAACTTCTGTAACACAGGTGCTTAGGTAGTGCAGGCGTATGTCGTGACTCAAAAATGAGTTGATGTTCAAATAAACCTAGAAATTAGTGAGCTTAATCCATAAACAATCTGGTAGCAAGCACAACATGGTGCAACCACAGTAAACAGGAAGTGGACACAATTACTGCAGGTACAGGAAACAGCAGGCTTCCAAGGGAACACCAGAATGAAGAGAGGAACCGGTGGTAGAAACAATTGCCCCCAGCCAGGACTTAAGTCATAGACATTGTGCTTATGTGGTATGTGCTTTAACCACTAGGCCACCAGACTCCAACACATAAATATTTTGACCGTGTGATGGTGCTATATGAAAAGTCAGAGGATAATCAAAGGTTTAAGAATTCATCCTAAGAGGAATCAAATTGTATCCATTCGATGCTGTTGCTGAAACATGTCAGTGAAAAACATAAAAGGTATAAAAGGTGGAGAGGAATGTATATGAGGAGTAAAGGGTTGTGCAGGGCATGGGGGCTTTTGTGATCAGGGGTCTTAACTGGTAAATAGATGCGGGCATAGCTGTGGTCTGGCATGCTCAGTCCTGTCAGGAGGAGGATGCAGGTACCAGTAGGAGTGAGAGGAGATTGGAGAGCTTGGTGGATGTTATCTCTCTCTCCATACCATTCTGTATCTGCAGGTCGACTCACCTGAGATGGTAGCCATTCATACTCTGTCTATTTACAGATATAAATTTGGCCATTAGTGTTGGAAAGATTGGTCTTTATTTTTCCTGAGGTGGTCTAGGAAAACAAACAAGGCATTTCTCATTTCAGAAAGAAGATCATTAAAATACATATTCTATTATTTTGTTGGTAATATGATGTCACAGACTCCTGCATCTTACAGTTTTTTCCTGATTGCTAACATACTACAATTAAATCCCTCAGCATAAAAATGTATACTCTTACCTCAGTTTTTAAAAGATAGACATTTTGCCCATAACTGTAAACTTTATACAAAAGGGGTCAAATAAATCATTCATTGCACTTTAACACAAAGTCACAAAATTCATGACACACCAATCAGATTTGCAAGATCATATATGTAAACAGGGTCACTGGTGTCTCTGTGTGCTCTGGAACAATGGATCCTCACATAGCCAAGGTGGAAGACATCAGAGGGGTGCAGAACGTCAGGAACACTATAAGTAATCAAGAGTTCTCCATGCCACTCCATATAACAGAACATATCTACTTGCATTCCTACATCAGGTTTCCAACCATCTTCAACAGCAAGGGGAGCCAGGGCAGTCAGAACTTTATCATTTGGGATTGTTTTCATTTCCATTGGGCTGCTCTGTTCGTGCCTGATTCAATGACCATCCCACATTTGCAGATCTTTTCTTACTTAGATTTATCTTTCTCAGTGTTATGGTGGAAAGTGTCCGACTGAAACCCTTACACAACAGAAAACCTTCTGATGACAATGGAAGAGGCCTTTGGGGATGTGTCCTTGGAAGGTATCCAAATGTGCACACAAGAGCACATCTCCCACACTGTGTGGCTCAACAGCCTATGTAATGTGGATGAAATTCTATGGCCTATTGTAATTACATTTACAGTATGCTGTATTTGTTTTGTTTATCTTGTATATTTCAACAATGATTTATTTTTAATCAAACTGTACATACATACCACAACATTTTCTGTTGTATAGTAGGCTATTGTTTTTAATGTCTCTTCACAGTGTACTCCTATATTGGTAATCTCTATGGTCAGTACCAGGATTTAAATAATGTAAGATGGCCTAAAAATACCAATTTCAGGAAAAAAAAAAAACACCTTTTGGCATAAATACGAGGAACGCTTGGTTTTGACCTGAAAGTTAGATGGATGTACAGACGTGAGCGTCATTTTGAGAATGTGTGTGTAGTTTTGAGAAAATGGTGAATTGTTTTAGTAGTGTTGAAAAACTGTAATGTATCCTCCTCTAAACAGGAGACGTGTGACCCCCCTGGTGGTGACATGCGGTACCTGCAGGGTTTTTCGCCTCAGTAAAGTAGACGTGGCAGTGACGTCAATGCCGGAGACGACCCGGATCGGAACTTAAACTCCTGTGGGTTGATTAGTTTTCACCAGAAGCATCGAGGGTTCTCGAAATATGAAGTAATACTGATTCAAGTAAGTCGAAACTAATCGATTTTGGGTTTTTAAATAAGGCTAAGCCTCACAGGGGTTGTTTAGATCGAATTTTATTATAGTAACGCAGGAGAGACGGTACGGAAAGCCCGGTTAGTTTTTACTAACGTTAGCTAATGTTAGCCTATTATAGCCGGTCAGGCCGTGATCAGCTGTGTCGTGATGGGCGGCCTTCACACATAGAGCTAGTCTTGACTTGAAATAATAATTGTTTCCTAATGATGTGTAACGTTAGATTTTGCCAGTATATTTAACCGATGTATTTATTTTTGAGTTGTATCGGTTATCTGCTACTTGGTGACTGGATGTTGTGGTTTAGTCGACCTTATGTCGTGGCTCGTAGCTAATGGTATCATCTGGTATTTTAACTTTAACCTAACCTAACAGCTACCCGACCAAATGTGTGTTTTATCGGTTAAAATTCAAACTAGCAGCCTGTGATCCTATATGTTGTTTCGACACATCCTTTCTCAGTTTCCGGAGACATGTATGTACCTGAGTCCATGACGGATAACGTTAGCCTACCTTGGATGTGAGTTTCTCTGCACACCGGGAGGTCTTCCTAATCACCCATCACAAACGATAGAGGAGGAGTACCGGCATCCCTAGGTTGTTACTGGTCTTCAGCGGGCTGGTGACTCTTTAACAGTGGTAGGATGACGTGCCGTGACCGGACCCTCGAATTCCAGTCGGCCTGTAAATCTCTCCAGGGCAGACAGGTATGTTGCAGGAGACCTGACATCACAACACATTAGTAAAACGGATCGGTTTATGTAAAATTAGGGATTTGCTATGACTTCATGCCTGTTATATTCCTGAGTTTTCTGTGTAACGTTTTGTGGCGAGGGTGATTTTTTTGTTAGGTTGGTTTTGGTTTCCCTTTCTACCACTCCTTTGGATAAATTTTGGTTTCATAATAGTGGCTCCTGGGCTAAAGCCTCTGTATGAAATGTTAATATTTCTTATTTGAAAGCTACCAAGCTCAGTTAAAAGACTTTGAAGAATGACAAAACTCCCATAAAGAAACAGAAAACAACCAGAAAGACCACATTTTTTCCTTAAATCAGCACTTTTCTATCATTAGCTGAGAAGCTTCCTAGCTCTCACAGCAGCTGAAGTTATAGTTAACATTACTGTTTACAGAAGGGGAAAAAAATAAAGACCATTTTGTAAATGGAAGACTTCTTAATACAACAAATGGCTTTTTAAGACTCTTCATTATCTGCAGATATCCTGATCAAAACAATCCTCTGCACATTTTTGGTCAATTTAAACACCTAGATGCCTGTTTTACTGTAACTCCCCAGTGGGATATGTAAAATGATTCTAAATCTCAAAAATAATGATACACGGTAGTAAGTCAGCAATGTCACTATATTGGCTTATATTAATTATCAAAGACATGGATATCAGTGTATATATGGGACAGATATGTTTGAGATAATGTAAAAAAACAACTGTCTCAGCAACATACTTCATCCACCAGAGAGCACTAACAAGTTTATTTTTCAATAGTAAAACAACCCACTCAGTATGTCTTTGTCACATGTCTTTAAAAGATTAGAAGAACCCTAATTAAAAGTGCTTTTTTGTTGTGTTAAATTGACAGTTGTCAAATTATTGTTACCAGACAATTAATTTTAAATCTCAGCGCTAGAGAATAAATGAACTATAATCATAAGTTGTCAGTGTTCCTAGTGATGCCATAAGCAATGCTTACTTGGTTTTATCAAAAGCCCATAGTATTAATTTTGTACTAATAATAAAGTCAACATATAACCAGGAAGTGGTTGGATTTTTATTTACTAACTGATTTAAAGTGTTTAGTAGGGCCACGAAATTGGAGTCATTGAATTCCCTTTTACTCGACCAGTTAATTGGTCCTTAATCAATGTTGTGGAGACCTGTTGTCATATCTTTACCTCCCCCCCCCCCGGCAGAATGGAGTCCAGCCCAGTAAACCAGCTCACAGTGCTCTCAGGCAGCGCAGCGACTTCACAGTTATGGCCAAGTAAGTTATGTCACTTTTCTTATGTGTTTTAACAGCTTAGCATTCTTTCATGTTGATTTTGAGTTATGCTAGTCACATTGTCCTCATCTTTATTGCAATGTGTATTAAAACTTTATTGCACTTGTATAGTGCACTTGGGAATAGTTTGTCATACATGTTACATGAAACATTTGATGTGAACTTTGGTGGAGAGATTTGTCCATAGCACAAAGACTGTAAAGAGGGAGACACAGAGAATAGATAAAACTGATATAATCTTTTTTTCTAACACTGGATAAGAGTCCAAACAAATATATATATTTTTTTAATTCCTAAAATGACAAAAGTGAAACTTTTGTTTGTTTTCTTGTAGGAGAATTGGAAAAGACTTGAGCAATACTTTTGCCAAACTGGAAAAGCTCACTATTTGTAAGTGTTCCTTTAATGTTATTTTAGGATTATTTAAAATATTTTAAAAATGTTGAGTTTGTGTGCGATTTTGTTCACTGTGCTGATTCTACATGCTGTTGTTTTGGTGTTTTAGTGGCAAAAAGGAATTCTCTATTTGACGACAAGGCAGTGGAGATCGAGGAGCTAACGTACATCATTAAACAAGTGAGTTGAGTTGTTAACATACTGTACCTTATTTATCAGTAGCCCATAAATATCTTGTCATTTGCTTTGTACCATTCCTTTGTTTATGTTTTTAGGACATTAACAGCCTAAATAAACAGATAGCACAACTGCAGGACCTGGTGAGGTCTCGTGGAGCTCCTGGTGGTCGACACATCCAAACCCACTCTAACACGATAGTGGTGTCTTTACAAGTAAGTTATAAAATCTATCTATCAAAGTGTATAATAAAAATAAAAAAAAACAGGAATATGATGTTTTTCTTGTTTTCGTTTTTTTTTGCTTTGTTTTACGGAAATAGTTTTGCATCTCATATAGTGGAATCAGAACATGTTTGTAGAATTGTTGTTCACGTATCATTAAGGCATGTTCACATTCACATGTCTTGCGCTGCGCATTCTGTGCTGGTTGGCGCCGAAACTCAAGTAGAAATTCCTGGGGGTACTGTACAAAATTATGCTTTCTTAGCTAATGCTACAATGCTAATGTTGCTAGCAGTAGATTACTATGTTTTAGAGGCTCAAGCTGCAGTTTTTAAGTAATCTTTGTAGTGACACTTGCATGGTGATATTGTGTTAGCTAAATAGGTTGTCTTCCTTTATATGATTTTGATGTGAGGATCATATGCTATTTTACAGTTTGGGAAATTCAGAAATGTCAGTTCCATACTGACCTGAGATTCTATGAGTGCAGGTGCAGCCAGGGAAAAACAGAACACAAGTGAGCTAATTGGATTCACATCTACTGAAGCAGTGGTTAATAGTGATTGCACATTGCACGCACAAAGGTCAGTGCAACTGGGGTCAAAGTTAAACAAATCTCAACTTTTAGCTCTCCATGGACGTCCTCGCAGAGCCTGTGCAGCAATGGCGAGGTGCAAACACAAGAGCTGTTTTTCCGCAATAAAGTGAACACGCCATTACTCTGTAACTACACAGCTGAATTAAGATGCACTTTGTTTAACTGCATCTTTTGTTTACAGTCCAAACTGGCTTCAATGTCCAATGACTTCAAATCAGTCCTCGAAGTCAGAACAGAGGTGAGAAGCATTTGGTTTATTTCATCATTCAAAGGCAGCAAATCTTATCCAGTGTTGGTTTCTTCTCAGTCACATTTACCCTCTCCATCATTTGTCTCATTTTCTGCAGAACCTGAAGCAGCAGCGGAGCAGGAGAGAGAAGTTCTCCCAGCCTCCTGTCTCATCTTCACCACTGATGGCCAGCAACTTCAGTAAGTCCATCCACATCTTAGCGTCATGCTTGTAATAGCTCACTGTGATTTTTTTCTCCCCCCCCCCCTCAAGGGTCTTGCATTAAAGTAATGGCACCAACTGGTAAACAATGCATGCCGTTGTCGCTTCATAAGGGCGTGTTCACTCTTTACTGATACTGTTTGTGGAAATGTTTTGCCTCAGTCATACTGTATTTTGTTCACAAATACTGTGTCAGCACCACCAAGCAGCAGTGTTGCAAATCACAACCTAAAGCAATCAACTGCAGCACAGACAGGTAAGGAAGGTTAACAGTAAAGTTTTTACCGTAATAGTTTGATCTCATACTGACTGGTATAACTTTCCATGCAGTACAAGTCAGCCCCCACAAACTGTGTCCTGGTCTTTTGTGCACTTCTAAAAATCTGAACATCTCTCAGCTCTAGAATCTGTTGTATTGCCCACTTTTGTTCATCTAAAACAAATTGTGCTGGCAGTTTCAAAACGTGTAACAGAGTGAACACGCCTTTATTGCTTCTTTATTTTAGCTTTGAAGCAATATTCAACATGTCTGGCTCCTGCTTGTTTTACTCTTTTAAGAACAAATTGCTAAACAAGTTGCTTACCAGAGACCCTCCAATTAGTACGGGGGGCTAAATGCCTCCTGTGCAGGCATTTACACTGCCAGTAAAATGTTCACACCCTGTGGTTCAACATTTTTGCCTAAATCTCAAATATTGTGCTCACTGTTGATATCCTAGCATAAAATACATTGGTATGTGAACTAAAATGTTTGTAATATTTCATTTTATTGGATATAACCTGTATCTAACTGAACATTAGCTTGACAGAATTATTTACCTAAACAAATTATTACTGTAATTAGGCTCCTGTAACAGGCATCAAACTATAACAGGTCCTTAACTGGTCGACTTGTGCAATGCATGCTCCTTTAATAATGTACAAGTTATACTAAAGGTCTTTCCATAAATGGATATTTAAATACAAGGTTTACATCTTTGGAACAATGATGGCGGCAAAGAAAACACAAGCTTCTTACTCACTATTACACCAATCATAGAGAGGTATTTTGTTTTATACACCTACTAGCATATATTTAATAATTTTAGGTTATTTACAATGAGCAAATTGATTGAAATTTAGTCACAAATGCAACGGATACAGGAACATGTTGACTGGCAGTGTAATTCTCAAACAGCTGTTGTAATAGGGAACTGCTCAAAGTCGTTGTGAATGACTTACTGTATCTGGTCCTCTAAAGAAAAAAAGAAAAAAATTTTTTGGGGAGCCGCAAAAAAGGTGCCCAGGAGCCGCATGCAGCTCGCGAGCCGCGCAATGACTACCAGGGCTATACAACCTCAAATTTAAAAGGTATTTCCCTGGACCGTTTGATTCTCCCAGCGGGTATCACTAGCTACTGTATGTGCCCGCTGTTCTTTCTGCTTTTCCCCTTTACCACTGAGGTTTTCTGTCCAATCTTGTTGAACATATGTTTGTGTTTTGCTTGCTGTCACTTTTCAGAGAGCTCGGTCCTGATGCAGGATGAATCCCGGAGTCAGGGGGATGTGGCCATCGACATGGACTCGCAAAGCAATCCCTTGCAGCTCCAGCTTATTGATGAGCAGGTACTGGTGTATGTTTGTCACATGGACAGATGAGATCGGAGTGTTAATTAAGATTTCAATTTGAAACTGCCCTTTTTTCTTTTTTTTTTCTTTTAAGCACAGAAGCTGTTAGTGTTAAGTGTTTCATCAACTCAGACTTTTTCTGTTTCAAACAAAAATTTACCCACTACTGTCTTTGTAAAAAAAAAAAAGGTTGGACTGCAATTTTTCATGGAAACATAAAAAGGTTTTTAAAATATGCAAATTTTGTTCTTTAAAATCATGATGGCTGTGTCATTACAGGACTCGTACATCCAGAGCCGTGCCGACACCATGCAGAACATTGAGAGCACCATTGTGGAACTAGGCTCAATATTCCAGCAGCTGGCACACATGGTCAAGGAGCAAGAGGAGACCATCCAGAGGTAAGATGAAGCTCTATACAGAGGGATTGTTGAGAGAAGGGGTCTCCCAGAAACCAAAGAAATAAAAGGATGTTTTACAAGCAAGAAACTGTAAATAAATGAGGGAAATGAAGACAGAATGAGTGCAAATGGTGTGTGAGTGATGACAAACTTGCATGGTTTTATGCTGAAAGTTTTGTGCTTGTGGTCTTTTCTCCTGAAATTCTGTCATTAAAAAAAAAAACTGAAATATTTAATTAGGGCTGGATGATATGGTTAAGTCATTATCACAGTATTAAGGATATTTACTGATCAGTAACTATATGGCAAATACAAGCAAAATAATCAAATTGGTGTTCAAACTAATGGATTGTGTTACACGGTAATAAAATGTGTAACTGTTTTTGTTTTCAATTACAACTGTCACTAGAAATTTGTAGAATGACAACATGACAGCTGCAACTAAGTTGTTTTTTTTCCCCTTAAGTATCAGTTAATCTGAGAATTATATTGGCTATAAGTCAACTAGTCATTCAGTTTGTGGGATGTCAAAACAACAGGTTTTAAGGAAAGATGATGAGATGTGCTTTCCTTCTGTCTGTCCCCTCTGACAGGATCGATGCTAACGTGGAGGACACCCAGCTGAACGTGGAGGCAGCCCACACAGAAATCCTCAAATATTTCCAGTCGGTCTCCTCAAATCGCTGGCTGATGATCAAGATCTTTCTCGTCCTCGTCGTCTTCTTCATCATCTTCGTTGTCTTCTTTGCCTAAGTGACTGAGAGGAGGGAAAAAGCCCACATTGAGGGGGAGTAAAACTGAAAGGGTGTTCCCAGATGACTCATTTGAAAGACGGACTTCTCTATCAAAGCGACAGTTTAATGAAGACTTGGGATTCACCCAGATGAATACAGACTTGTTGGTTATTCCCAAGCTACTTACTCTCGATCTAATTTCAACACTTCAATGAAGATGCTGAACTCTTCACTTGGAGAACTCTACACTTCAAATGAAAATAATAAATTATCTAGAAATACCCACTTTGTATAGAGAGCAGACACCTGCTCTGTATTGTACTTTGACCAACTATTTGTAAAAAATTTCAAATGGCTTTAATGGTTTGATTCTACAAACTGTCTTTTTAATTTAGATTTTCTTTGTTCCTGTTTTCTATGTCGTCCATTATTATTACAAATCTAAACAACTCAATTGAACTTTATCCTTTTGCTTCTTAGTTTACTTATGTTTAATGGAAAAGCATGACTCATTTCTCAGTTTCTCACTTGTCTCCATTTAGTTATGATGTGAAATTGTATCCAGTTATATTTTGTTTCCTTTCAGAGTTTATTTGCCAAATAGGTACAATTCTTAAACTGTAACATAATACCAACACACTTGCTGTGGTCTGGCATTTTGTGGCCTGCAGTTTACAGCCAACTGAAGGGAACTTTAATGCTATAGTTCAGGCACAGGCTGTCTGAAATGTTGTGTATCAACACTGTTTTGATTAAAACAATTAGGTTGCCAGTTAGGTTGGTCAAATGGTCGGAACGGTGTCAACCTCACACTTTCAGTGCTGCAGAGAGACTTCAGTGTACAGTGTGAGTAAAGGATTTGAACAAAATCCAGGTTTGAGATCAGTGCTTATGAAGGGGGTTCGCTGGTTGTGGACGCCCACTAAAGAAGTGACTCAATCAGCAAGATTCCCTGAAGTGTCTGATTGGATGTCACTCTTGTTGTTTCCCCTCTTTATCTAATGTACAGATTATTTAAATGACCATGACTTTTTAAGAACCAAAAACGTTCTTCCTATCCCCCCCTGTCTATTTTTTAAGCCAGATGCCTTGACTTTAGTGTACAAAGTGCAAATAGTGATGATGAAGTACTAATAAGAAAGTGCATATTAATAAAACATTAATGGGATGCTGGCATTTATGACTGAGATTTTCTTGGGTTAAGAGGATTAGTCAGCAGTGATTATAATTAGTGGGGCTTTGAAGCTGCTCAACGGAGAGCTGCTGAAGAGGGTAGAACTGGAGTTATATTTTACACCACAAAGACATAGCAACAGGCCTTGGGCAGATTAACTTATATTTTGCTTTGTCAAATGTAACATGATAAAGATCTGTGCATTCGCTTAAAGGTTATTGGACTTGGAAAATGTACAAAACCTAGTCTTGTTTAATCTCAACCGTACCCATCATTTAAACCAAAAACTGTAGACGTCTGTCTTTGTGAAAAGGCAATGTTTTATCACCTAGAAGTGACAAGAACACTATATTTTTTCCCCCAGATGGGTACATTTTACTATATATCGACATTAAAAAACATTACAGATTTTTTTTATTATTCCCTTCTTGCAAGAATTTGCTTGATGGATACATGATGAGAGCACCCTCTAAATGTGCTGGTGATCCAGAGCCAAACTCTGGCTGCTGAATATACTGACAAGTGGCCTGAGCTGAACTTCCCCCATCTACTGCAGTAGTCGACTGTCCTACCTGTTGTATAACATGTTTTCAAAGGGGCAGATCATGAGACATGTAACACATGATTAATCAGGAGCTGTATTCTCCTCCTTTCCCTCACATCTTACATGGGTTAGACTAAGAAAGACCTAAGGAACAGACACAAGAGAGGGAAATGCGAATGCAGTTAAATAAAATGGGGTTTACCCAGTGTGTCCATTTCCTCCCCTGTGACAACTGTCTACCCCAGTTCCCTCTGGAATATCGCTCGCTCACTGTCCCTGCTTTCTGTCAACCCTGAGCACTCTGCTCCATAGGGGTGATCTCTGGCATGCTCTTGCTCCTGCCCTTCCTGGTCCTGGCCTTGATGGCCTCCTCCTCCCCTTCTTCATCCTCCTCCTCATCAGACCAGTCCACCTGTTGCTGCAGATTGCCCCTGGAGCCTCTCATGCCACTGCCCTTGAAGAAATGGCCCTTGCGAAACTTTGTGCGGAAAGTAACAAAAGAGAGGCTCTTGCTGCGCTGCTGCTTCTCGATGACCATGTCCTCCCTCTGAATATCTTCATTTCTATTCATCTCATTCACAAAGTCACGCAGGACTGAACGAAACAGCTGGGGAACCTCATGAACTTCGGGCTCCATCTGCGAAACCAACCTCCGGAACCTGCAGTGGGACAAATAACTGTGATTATTAGGAGCAGTCTGTCCTTTGTTACACCTCTGGTAGGATATGATTACACTAAAGGGTTTTGGAGAGTGGACAACATCAAACCTGTACAGTGTTGTTAAATTATAAAAGATGAAACATAATTTAATCAGAACAAATCTGCAGGTGTTACAAGTCAACCCTGATCTCAGCGATGACCCCCTGACTTTTGTGAGGCTTCAAATAATAATTATTTCAATTTTGGATTAATCTGTCAGTTACTGTATTTGATAAAGCAATCAACATTTTTTTTCTATAAAATATCAGAAAATGGCAAAAAAACAAACAAGAAATAAAGCCAAGGAAACCAGAAAATAGACATTTAAATTTTTTGGCCAAAGTTTTTAAGCAATGATCAAAATTGTGTAGCAACATTTTGCTCAGTTTTAGTCAGATTCATACTTCCTCAGTTTTAGTCTCAGTAACAACTACACCTCTCTCTGCCAGTTTGGATCACTAGTATGATTGTGTCTTTCTTTCTCTATGTCCTCCTTGTCTGTCTTGCTGTCTGCCTCACCTGACAATGACAGGGCCACACTGTGCAGGAGGGATTTTGCCACAGAGGTCCTGCAGCTCTAGCAGGTCATTGGGTGTCAGCTCATAGGGCTGTGGCATTGGGGTGTTGGCCAGCCAGCTGTAGTCTGCTGTGGAGGAGGAGCTGCGCCGACGGCGCCGACACTCCGTGACTCGCTCTAAACGGATGCGTTCAGTGCGCTTCACCATAGCCCCCAGCTCCAGCATCAGAGTATTGGTTACCAGCTCCTCAGCTGTGCGCTGGCCGGGCACTTTGGGCTCAAGTGAGAAAACTGCGGACCAAGGAAACATCTGGGAAAGAAGGACAGGATTGGTGGACGGATACTCATAGTTTATATAAGGAATGCTTTTTAATATGTTGAATATTTTGAGTTTTAATATTTTAGAATTTTTGTGGATGATAAAGACAAAACCAAAGGTTATAAAAACATTTGGAGACCATTAAAGGGCTGTTCTAGAAGAAATGGTGTACATTTTGAGTGCTAATGATTTAATCATAGCTACTGCAAATGATTAAAAATTTTAAGCTTTCTGAGGCTTAAACATCCAAAATACATTATATATACGTTATATTTTATGGCATCTTGATTTTATCAGTGTCAGTATAGTATGTTTAATTAAATGTGACTCATAATTGGTATAACACAAACGAATGCAAGCAGTTTATATCACTGATCAGTACAAACAATGTTTACTTATGAGGATTTTTAGCACCAGTTATTGTCTTGCCATAACCAAATAGAAGTTTAATTATTGTCTTACCTTCATGAAAGTGAATCTACAACGCTGGTGGTTAGCGGCCAGGTGAAGAACCGGCCTCCATGGGCCGGTGACAGTCAGAAATGATGAAACTCCCCTGACTCCAGCTGGTGGCACACAGCTACCTGGCTGCCTTGCTACCTTTGCAGGTCCCTGGCAGACAGTGTGTGTATCTTTCTGAGGAGTGCCTGTGGGATTTAGAATAAATGTAATCCTGTATTAACAAAGAGTGAGTGATGAGATGAGATTGCTCCATGACATGAATGTACACCTGTGTTTGTGTGTGACTGATAGAATTCAGCTCTGGGGTGTTTACATAACAGCATGGGACTGTTCACTGATCAAGACATTTTCATTTATAATATGTTTAACTGCTTTTCTTTTGCATGTGTTTGCTGATTTTACCTTCTTTTTATGTCAATTAAAGCTGTAATAAAGGTTTCAGCTCATAAACATAGACACTGACTTGGTACAAGGTGCTTCAAACTACTTCCACAGTGTCTTACAAATATATTTTTGGACACCTACTCCTAGGACGGTCCTTGAGAATGACACTCTGAAAGTGAAAAGTGGTCTTGCAGTTTGCAAACAGTAACCCTCCAGGTACATCTGTAGTTATGACACTGTTGTGGCCAAACATTACAATAAGGTTGTGTGCCTACTCACGTAATCTCTCTGTTTCACAAGTATAATTTTTCAGGCGTTAGCAGTCTGTGCCACTAGATATAATATGGTATTGTATGTACAGTAACTGCAGGCTAGTTCCTGGGTTTCCACAGTGCTCAGCACTGAGCCTCCAAATCCCAGATTACATTCAAATCCAGAGCCTACCTGGAAGAATGAGTGGTTGTAATGACTATTATAATCTAATTATGGTTGTCTATTTTGGGTGTGTTATTGCTGTAACTAAACTGGGATAGTTCTTTTGTAATATTTAACAATGTTGATGGAATTGATTTGATATATTACCACCATAGCTATAATCCTCAGGGGATAAAAGCACAAAACCGCCTAAAAGTTTACTTTGATCATTGTCCTAAAGCATTTAAAATACATAAAGCCATTCAACACCTGTCAAACACATGTTCATACAGCGTCAGTCCATGCTCTACTTTTGTCATAGTGATGTAGTGGTTAAAACAAACAAGCTACAGTTAATATGTAACAGAATACAGTAAGAGTGTGTAGATTACATATAGCAGTAGTCAATTAATAATTAATCTCTGCAACCCCCTCTGTACTATGTCAGCTCACTGTACAAATTGTTAAATGTTTGTGTGTGCTCAAGCAAGAACATTTTGGGATCATGGATCATGTTTGTTTAACCCATGGGGTCATCCTGATCTGGAGATGACCTGTTAACTAGGTTTGGGAATTGATGTGAAAAGTAAGGGATGACAGAAGGGGGGTTGGACACTGTCAGGAGGACACAATAAAAAACTAGTGAATCAGTGAGAGGACAGAGAAGATAGACGGAACAGGAGCCGGAGAAGAGGGAAGACAGGAGAGGGCTGACTGAATGGGTGACAGACTGACTGGACTGTATGACCAAAAATGACTGACTGACTCTTTGACAATCTAATACTTTTATTTATTTCTCTGCAGAGACGGTGATTCTGTTCCCTACCTTTCAGACTGTCAAATGGCTTTTCAAATTATTGAACTGCTCAGAATTATTGTAATAATAAATGATCTTTGGCATTTTAGTGATTCGTCTGTGAATTAATTTAGCTCACATCCAACATTGGCCACCACAGTGAACTGGGCTACAAATAACCAAGAGTCCATCTTTTTACATTGTAATCAATTGTGTCCAAACTCACAACACAACTGGAAACACTTTTACTATGTAGCCTTTAGATCTAACTGACTAACCCAGCTAGCTCAGGCATAATTCAGATAATCTCTGTTTGTGTTACCATGTAATTCACTCATGTGTCTTACTACATGCTATTAGTATTATTAATGAGTTTTTCACTGCTATTTCACTACAATTATTAATTGTTTTCTTTCCCACCCTCTTTCTTTTCTGTAGTGTCTTTTCTTGTTGTTCGTTTTCTGTGTGCTGTCAAGCACTTTGGGTCAAATGTGCCACATAACAAGTGACTTGAATAACATTTGCCTATGAAAATGACACTAACCATGCTGTTGTGTTTTTGGAGAGATATTGTCACTAGAGGTCACCAGAGGTTCGCGCGTGTTCACCTGCTACGTCACCAACAACCGCTCCGCCTCGTGCCACAACGCCTCTGGTTCTGTCAGCTGGACGGTCCGCGCGGCATCTTTCTCATATACATGCAAACTGTCCGTTAACGTCTGTTGTTAGCTTCGGTTGTGTTTAAATTGACCACGTGTTGAGAGGGTGAGCACCTGGAAAGTGTGGTTTGTTTTACACAGCGATAACAGAACACAACTCTGACACCACTGAGCCTCCCTCGCGGCTGACGCTTTGTCATTTTCTAAAGTGAATGGTAAGTGGCTAGTGCTGGGTTAGCTT